CACACGTTTTCAATTAAAGCGCCGAGTTGTCACATGGTTGGTGTCGTCATTGGTGACTTTATTGGCGCGAAAAACGTGGTCCTACATGATCCATGCGCCGCATAGCAGCAGCTGGACCAGCAGCACTCGTTGTAGGTCATTGTAGGCATTGCAGGTTCATTACCTGTTCGTTACTTACCGTACGGTAATGATCATTAATCCCAGTCCGAGCTCTCAGTGATGCGTGAGCAGTGACAGTGGCATTGTGCCAATTTATATATCAGCTTATAAAAGAAATTTGTTGATATTGTTTTTATTGTCTTGAAGGAATAACGCAGTTAAAGTTGTAAGGTGACATTGTTTGTTTATTTAGTTTTATTACGGTTTATGTAATGAACTAGTTGTTGCCTGCATTGTTTCCATTTTAGCTAGAGTATTGGATATAACAATGAACTTTGTAATGTACTCTGCATCATAAATTCTTATGAAAAATTACTTGTCTACTTACACAACTGTTATAAAAGTATTATCTTTTGTGAATCATGGAAGAAGAAAGTGAGTGGTCAATGCCAATGTTATTCAATATTTGAAATGTTTGTGAAGGAAGAATGATCATTGCAATAAGGTTATTTTCAGAGCTTTTAAAGAGGAAGAAGAGAGCTCAAGAAGAACAAAATTTGGAGCTTTTAGCTAATACATTGAAGAAGTTAGCCGAATTATATTATTCAAAGGGGCAATATGAAGAAGCTTTGAATGCATACGAGGTATGTTCATTCATATAAACTATTGAATCATGAAATTGTTCCTGTAGAATATACAGTTCATATTCTGATGTTGTGGGTGTATTATTCTTAAGTTAAATATTTAAATGAAATAATTAGCTATTTTTGTTAAATTTGTGTTTATTAGTAATAAAAATATTTAATTACTGGTGACTTGTTTTATTTATAACATGGTAATGTTTTGTTTTAAAAATATAATTTATATTATGATGTTGCAGGAAGAAAGAGACTTATGGTCAAACTTAGGAAAACCTATGGAAAAAGCAAGAGCAAGTCGTTTTATGGGAGAAATTTATTGTCATCTGGAAAACTATAAAGATGCCCTTTCAAAGTTAAAAGAGTATCTTTGTAAGTTGTCACCATTTATATTCATTCATAATTTTAACAGATCAGTGAAGTGAAAACATAAAGTATTTCAGAATGGTATTCATTGCACATGTTAATATTCCAAAAAAGCTTATAATGTCATTGCAGTATTTGAAGCTTATCCTTTTTTGAGATGTATTGTACTCTCCCTAGGGCTGGATTTTAATGAAATATCATCTTCTCTCTTTTCATTTTAGAACAATTCCGTTTAGTATAGAAATTCATTTTATGTTATAACAAATTGATATGACGCATTTTTATGTAATTTTGTTTGCATTTTTTGTTCATTTCGACTGACAAGTCATTTTATACCTTTTTATGTCTTTTTTAATGCATTTTTCACTGATTTCATCGATTTCAATATCATCTTAATAATACTTGCTTCAAACAATATTTACAAGGTACAAAAAATGTTCATCACAGAATTCCTGAGTAACCTATTCGATTTCTTCACTCGTACATTGTAATGTCAGCCGTTGTGAGTACTATGTAATTGAAAGTTCCTGTGATGCCTATCAGTCCCATTGTCAGTTTGGCCGATTTCGCGATAAATAAAAGCAGAGATTTACTTTTAAAGAACAGTCCAAACCAAAAGTTTGCAGACTGAGTTCGCTTGAACAAAAGGGAGAAGCCTTGATAACATCAGTTACTTATCCAACAGCATAATTTGTTGATCTGAATTGGTCTGAATTTTTTAATGTTCGTTTTAGGGAATTTTTAAAGTATTTTAAGAGCTTATTATAGACCATTTTTGGCAATGTTTTATGTCATCAAACCCACCACCTAATGATAACTTTCAAATTTGATTTCATTTCAAACAAATAGTGGTTACATAATGAAGTAATAAATAATGCAAAACCAAGTGGCAGTGCTTTTACAATCCATACATCTAACATTATAAACGTTTCTGTTGCACATCTTGCAAACCAGAAAATATCCACAAAAATTGCAGCTCCTGAAAAAAATCAAAGAATTTTAACAAATCTTAATAAAAATAATATTGTAGCCTTTGCAATATATTTTATTATTTTAGAAATGCTAGACATGGTAGGAGTGGAATGTTAATTAATTGAATGTCGCCCGCAGTTCTTTCACACAGAGATCAACATTTTTTATTTTCTTATATTAAAATACTGCCCTTACTTTTACTCATAATACTTTGTAGTTAGAGAAAATAAAAAATCTGCAGCTCAGGATGACTGATGCACTTGCATACACATTGTCATATGTGATTGAAATTGCATATTATTATTATTATTATTATTATTATTATTATTATTATTATTATTATTATAGTAATAGATTGTCAATCTATTATTTCAGAAGCCAAATTACATTTCTGGCTGCAATGTTAAATTTTTTTCATTCTTTTGATGTTTGTAAGTATTGGATGTAGAGTTAATTTTAAAGCTACTGTCTTTGATTTTTTGGGGGGGGGGGGGAGTTTTTATGGAGTTAATTCTAAATTTGATTAAGTTTTTTGAATCTCCTTTTCTTTTGTTGAGGACCTGAATTATTGACTTCCTCCATTGCTCTGGGATTACTCCTAATTCTATGCATTTATTATGTAAAGGTCAACCCATATTGCTTGCAGGATAGGAGGTTTCATTTAAATGCACATTGCAGCCTTCTTAACACAAAATTGTAATAGGATGACCATACAAGTTGATTTCCATATTGATTCATTATGTTTGTGTGTGTTCGATTTGTTTAAAATTTCCCCTTCTGACAAGAAGGGTGATGAGAATCACATATAGTGGCAGTTGGCATCCAGAGCCACATTTATCACAGTAGAGTGTGTTCCCATTGCATAGGGATGTTCCTTTCATAGGAACCTTTAAAGTACGCGTACTTAGGGCTAGTTATACCATAGAGGTAGTTATTACAGAATATAGGTGCCAGTAAAGTTAAAATATAACTTATTAAAATATTTTGACATATTATTTAATTGTTTCAAATTACCAATTTTAAAAGAATTTGTGTGAATAAACATCAACAGAGATACATTTTAACACATATGTCCTAGGGATTCTTTGATTTTTGTTACTTAGATAATTACAGACATGGTGAAATTATCAGTATAAAATTGCATTTTCATTATTAATCTATAAGGCTGGTATAGTTTAAATCAATATTTATTATTTTTAATATTTGAAAATATATTTGCATAATAAAAGTTACTCAGATAAGACTTAAATCAATTACAAAGTTAATGTAAATAATACATTATATTTCTTATAACCTTTATCACATAATTGAACTATTTTGATATAATAAAATACAATACAATAAAATATATAATATAATGAACAAGCTTATGAAATGAAAAACAATAAACTATTTGCAGTAGAGTTATATATTTATAGACATAAATCATCGATTAGTTTTTATCCTGCATTTAATTGCCTGTAGATAAAAACTAACTTAGCAGCAACATTGCGCTAACACACACCGAACTAGTATTAAATTTATACTTTTTGATTATAGAATAATTTACAACGGTGTCCATAATTCTAGATTTATATTAAGTGTTTGCTAAAGCCACTTAAAGTACATCTTAAAGATGATGGGCATTAATGAAAATGAATTTTTATTAATTCTCAATTAAAGAACAAAGTTAATATTGTTAAAACTAATGAAAACTGTAGTTAATCATACTAGTTTTAATAGTATTAACCTTTTTCTTTATGTGTACATTGATAAAATTCCATGCTAATTGGGAAGCATACTTCTCACTGGCCATTAAAGAGTTAATGGGAAAGTGTGCAAGTAACAATCATTATACCTCATATTTTTGGTAATAGGGAAATTAGTAAGTCGAATTTAATATTTCAAAAACTATCTAACATTGTTCTAAGTTTTTTCGATGAATTCAGTTTTCAACAGGAAGTGCTTTTTAATTAGAGCGCTATTGCACAAAAAAATGGTAAAATTTCTTTGAATGAAGAATGTGTTTTTTCTAAATCTTGCTAATACATAGTGTCGCAAGCTTATTTGTTAATGTGAACATGAGAAGTGTTTCAAGAGCACAGAACTATAAGTAAATCAATCAGATTTAAAGATTTTGTGGGTTAGAGCGGTATTGCGGACCCCACAAATATATAGCATATTTATTTTTTAAATAAAATTACAATACTTCAATGATAAATTCAAGAGCTAGTGTTTTAGTATTTATTTTTTTTTTTTTGTGCTTGTAAGGATATATAACTAACTTAACAATTGGGTTTAAAGTAAAAACTTTTAATACAATTTTAAAAAAAGTGATTAAATTTTTTTAGAAAAAAAAAACATTTTCTCAGCCCGATTAATCTATCAAATTAATGAATGAATTAACAATTATGGGTATATTCACCATCCTTTAGTTGAAATTGAACTTTATTTTTAAAATTTGCCCACTCTGGCTTCAAGGAAATAAAATATTTATTAGATATCATTAATTTTGTGTTAATGTATTGTAATTTTATGTTTCATGTTCCAATTGTTTAAATCTTCTTACATCCATATTATAGTAATTGCAACAGAAGAAAAGGACTTGATTGAAGAACAGCGAGCTCTTGCAACGATTGGTAGAACTTTCTTTTGTAAGGCTGAGAGTGTCTCCAAGTCAAATGAAATTGAATACAAGAGGGCATTAAGAGAAGCCAAACAAGCTTATATTATGAGTTTAAAAGTTTGTGACAAGTAAGTTCAATAAATTCAGTAATGTTATTGATGAAATTAAATTTACTAAAACCTTTCACAATAAAAATATATTGTCAGTTACACCTATGAGATACAAATTGTTGTTGATTTTTTTCTTTTGCTGTGTTTTAAAACCAATATTTACTTTATAATCTAATTATATTGTTTATGAAGGTATATAATTTTAAAAAGCATCCCATTAAGTGGTCTATTTATCCATCCAGTTGGATTTCCACAAGATTTCTGTAGTAATCACCAAGTATACCATTTAATTTAATCTTTTTTTATTATTACTAGTTATCCTTTGTGTTTCTTAGGTGTGTCCTTGGTGTTTCTTAGTTTAATAAAAAAAAATCAATCAAAAGTCAATGTGGCCAAAAGTATTTTTTGTAATTTGTTTGGGTTTAAAAATATGATAGAATTGTTTTGTTCAAGAAGCAATACTGTTGTTTGGATTAAATTAAAGTTTTTGGAAGAAGAAAAAAAAATAATAAAAAAACTTCACAAAAATTATATTAAAGTTCGTAGTTTAAATAACATATCAGACACTTTTCTGACAGTTTTGTGCCCATTTCATTCCAAAATGTATTCAAAACATATTAGTTTTAGTTGTGTAACAACACACCAAAAGTGTACTCAATTTAAAATAATTGCTCCTAAAATGCACCATCCCAATTTTGTTATTTTTCAATTTTCATATGTCAAAGTTTTAGCCATGTGGGACGAATTAGCTGTGATTGTAGCTCTTTCTACTTGAATTGTCATTTTTCAACCTTCTCAAATTCCATTTATTAGCATTAATTAAAATTTTAGTCTTAAAATGTTTACTAAAATTTCAATTTGCTGGATTTTAAATGTTCTTTTTAATATTTCTTAATTACATCACTATGATTTAAATTAGAGAAAAACTTATGTTTAGAGAATAAAATAGAAGCATAAAATGAAAACAATCAAAGCAAACTAAAAAACTTATGAAATTGTTCATAAGAGGAGGTCCACAAACGTCCTTGCCTCCAGCAGGGACCCAGTTGTTGAGAGTGCCTTACGTGTTTATTCATCATCCCCAGTCCTAAGATAACCTTAGGCTGCCACCATGCGTGCGTGACATTGATTAATGTCTCTGTTTCTTGAATACTTCAAAGTAATCTTAAATACTTTAAAATAGAGGAGATGCATGATATTCCAAAACGTTTCTCTACCATATTTTGTGAGTTAGTTAATTTTTCATTTTGTGTGTTGAGTCTGTGAAGGTTTATTTATTTTTAATGTTATTACTTTTATTTGCTGATGCATTAGTATTGGTATAGTCTATGTTATTTATTACCATCTCAGTTATAAATTATTACTTTCAGATTAACTAATGTTAACCGTCATGAATTGCTGCAGATGAGAGGTCGTTTGTTATTGAATATTGGTTTGGTATTTGAATGTCAAGGTGATTTTGAAAAGGCTGTGGAACATATACAAATGGTTTGTACTGAAATACATTGGATAAAAGAAGTTTGGTATCATTTTACTTAGAAACAATGATTTAATGTTATGAATTAATTTTATTCATTTGTTCGTAGGCTATTTCAATCAACGTAAAGGCAGATCTGTATGATGACACTCAACAATGCTACACATCACAAGCTGCACTATATCAGAAACAGGGGAATACTGTTTTGGCCTTGAAGTATTATGATCTTGCTTTGGAAGTTCAGGAGCGTTTACCAAACAAAATACAGTTAATGTGTGAAACTCTAGGCAATAAAGCGGACGTATATTTCAGTGTAGCTAACTATAAAGCTGCTAAACAATCTTTAATTAGAGCATATAGATTGTGTAGAGGTACATCTGAAGATAAAACAGTTCTGGAAAGGAACTTAAAACTTGGTATGATTTCCTTTTTTGTTTTTGATTATTAGCATCTTTCATTATTATTATTATTATCATCATCGTTGTTGTTGTCATTGTTTTTCTTCATGAGGTAATGTATGATAATTGCCAACTACGTTCATTTGTATTTCAGCTCATGTTTTAAGTGAGTCTGAAAATAAATTGATCAGTACGACTGATACTGATCTAAATGAAATGAAACAGCTGTATGAAACATTAGGAGATGCTTGCTGTGCAGTTAAAAATTTTAACCAAGCTATTGTGTATTATCAGAAAATGCTTGAGGTATGGCATGCGTAATTTGAAAAGCTTTATTTTGTAATTCTTATACAGTTTGTGCAAATGTAATTTTCAAAATTTTACAGTGCCTTGAACAACTTGGTTGCTATGGAAAAGATCTACTTCCAGCAATAGTTTCATTGTCTCAGACTTACAAAGATGCTGGAAGATATGAAGAATCATTGGAATTCTTTCGAAAAGAGCTGGACATTTGGGAGGATAATTCTGAAGAGGTAAAGTAAAATATTAAGTTATTTTCTGAATTGTAACTTGTGTACGCTTTATAAAATCAAATTTTTTCTTATTTATAATGCTGTGTAATTTAAGATGCCTGTACGTGTATAGCACAATTTTTGTTTCTTGATAACCATTTTTATTTTATATTCAATGCATTTCATCATTTCTTTGTCAGGTGTGTTAAAGTTCTCAACCCATTTAATCCCAATTTCATATTTTTGTAACTTCGTGCTGCCACTATTTGGAATATTTACTAAGAATTTTATTGAAATCAGTTGTAGAAATTCTATTGACACCATTAATAGATTCTTTATTCATAATTGCTAATAAATGTGTCGATGTTGGTTTTCATTGTAGACACAGGATTTGTTACAGTAGTGAGTGAATGAATTTTGGAAACTTTGAAAGCACTTCAATGTTCTGCAACACACCAAATCAAAGGCAATTGTATTTCTAATACTAATACATTAACTATAAAAATTGTTTTAAATTATTCTAGAATATCTAGGGAGTTTAGATACAGTGCGCCACAAAATAGCTATTGATGGTAAATTCCTTACTCAATCACAAATATAAGTGCAACACTGCAACGTTTATATAGCATATTTTTTTTTGAACATTAGGGTAAAATTTATAAAAAAGTATCCATGAATGTAGTATAGAATAATTTGTATTTTGCTTATAGTCATATTTACACCTTTTTTTAGAAAAAGGCATAGTTTGGCCGTTTGCCGTAAATGCTTCATATTTTTAAGGACAAAAGAACGTTATGATTAAAATGTGTTTTGCATACTGTCACAAATAAGCACTACAAATACACTAAAAATATTTATTTGAAATAGAGAAGTAATGAAACATTCTAGACAGTTTGATGTCATAATTCATTGTTGTGCAGGATTGAGAAAACTGAAGACAATGGCGAAATATATAATAATTTATCAGGAAGATAATTTTTGGTGTTCTACAGTGCCTTTTGAAGATGGAGGAGAAGAAATTTTAATTGCAAATTTAATATATATGGATTCAAAACTATTAAAGAGAAAAAATACTAAAGAATTTGAAAATTAGACAAGTCAAAAACAAAACTTGCTCAAATTATCGAAACTGGGGGGGGAGTAGAAAAGAAAGGAAACAAGAAGAAAATGTACTGTTCTAAAAAGTCTTGGAAAAATTGCCTTGATTACACCATTGTCACTGTTTATCGGCCTTTAATACTCACTGAAGTATTTCAATTTTTTATAACCAATGAGCATCCGAAATTCGCTATAAAAATGAGTGGTGTTAACTTGATGAAGATGAAATTTTTTCACTTAGTGTGCGATAATTAAGAGGGTTTTCGGTATTTTGCTTGTATATTAGTGGTTACTTTACTATACCTATGTGCAAATTTATTGGGAGGAAACAAAATATTATTTCAAATTCATTGAGAAGAAAAGATTTTTATTTTTTTGTAATTTGAGGGAATGCCAAAAACTAAAGCAGGATCTGCAAACCCAGCTTCTATCAGTATCAAATGAAATCATATCTGATAACAGGGGACACTTTCCTGAAACACAGTCCAAAAGAACCCACTGAGCTAACAGTAACACAATGACAAGTGTGGTGTTGACAAGAGTGCACAAATTGACTTCCGTCCAGAAGAAAATGGAAGTTATAATAGATCAAATGATTATTCCATAAATTATGTGGATTATTCAGTTGTTCATTCTTTTGTTTCTATTTCATTCAGTGTGAAAGAAAAGAAAAAGTTGTGGGTATTGCAGCCAAAAATATATAAAAAGAAATTACTTTAATAGATAAAATAATTGTTTGATTGTAATACTTTTGATCTTATTTGATTGTGTTCTTTCGTTATGCTCATTACGATATTTCAGTTGGAAATAAACCATTTGCCTGCATCAGTTAGCCACTGTTTGATACTTACAGAAAAGTACTCCCTTGTGCTCAGTGTTGTGTTTTTGCAATACATTGCTAAATGATGGGGAACAATTTACAAACTAATAATGCTACAAAAGCACATTATTTGTAACTGCTATGGAATGTAATACTACATGAAACTGCAAAAGTGTATCCAACGATCAAAATTTTTATCTTTGCAATCAAACATAGATCCTTAGAGTTAGCACGACATTCACCACATCCCACCCCACCATCACAGCTGAACTCTACCTTCCTGTTACTAAAAAAAAAGTTGAACATTTGCATGTGCAGTTTTCGATATTTCAGAGAATTTCATTTACGTTATTCCAAGATTTAGTTTTAAAGAACAGGTTTCTCAAAGTCTGTTATCAATTATGATAAATAAAGATGTTGTCTGGTATCAATACTTTTTATTAAGCTAATGATCGTTAATAATAGATAATCATAATGATCATAATAATAGAAGGTATCTACCTCACCAGCGATCTAATTAATCTGATATCAATATTGTAGTTTTACAATGATAATTTTTTGTTTTCTATTTTGGAAATGCAGTGTGTTACCCAAAATTGGGAACTGCATCATTTTTCATCCTTAGTGTTTCACCATACTGTAGTTGCAGGGAGATACCGAAAAAATTTTGATCTTTCACAATTTTCGAAAAAACAGGGATTTTATCAAAAATGAAGACCTGGGCCATTTTTTTAAGCATCCTGTACACTCTCCAAGGATGGGGTGGATTTTGATGACCTAAAACATTGCCAAAAATGATTAATAAAATCCCCTAAAAACAAAGAAAAATGTCATACAAAATTTGATTGAAACCACTTCAGATGAACAACTCTAGCTGTTGGATGTGTTGCTGATGTAAACAAGGTTTCTTTCATTTGTTCAAGTGAACTCAGTTTACAAACTTGTGGTTTGGACTGTTCTTTAAAAGAAAATCTCTGTCTTTATTCTTGGCGAAATCAGCCAAACTGACAATGGCTCCAATAGGTGTCACAGGAACCTTAGATTACATAATATTTACAACGGCTGACATAATATATGAACAAAGAAATCAAATAGAATACTCAGAAATCCTATCCTATCCTATTTGTTGCCCCTTCGTAAATATTGTGTGAAGCTAGTACCATTAAAATGATATTATAATCAATGAAATCATTGAAAAATACATTAATAATGTTATCTGTAACATATATAATTATCTGTTGAAAAATTGCCATTTTCTGCTACAGTATTGCAACACTGTTTTTACCATCTGAGTACTCAGTAAGATGGGAGCCAAAATCGTCATTTTCATGTCATCTTCAGTCATTTACTATTTTACTTTTTCATGCTTTAGAAGGAACTTCTTAAGAGAAAGTTATGTAAAGCTGCGCAAAAAAAAGGCGAATTTTTGCCAGAAAAATTTATTACAGAGCCCTAGTAACGATAAAGTGGATAAATCCAGTTGCTAAATTTACAGAAAAAATCCTGTGATGTAGCCAGAACCCATGTTTTGTGGGGTCTTTGACACCAAAAAGTCAATTGATGGCAAAATGTATCTGTCTGTCCGTCTGTGAACAATGCTAGCGGTTAAACTGTCCAGAAGATTTTCTCCAAAATTGATACTCCCTGATTAATCTGGTTGACTTGAATTTGAAACCAGTATTTCAAATTGGGGAGATACTTTACAGGAAGCCCCCGTGACATTGTAAAAAGAAAATAGCACCATTGAATTTGTGAATAATTGTTGTTGATAGATGGTGTGAAGGACTTTTAAAAGAATGGTAGCAGGTCTCATTTGGTTGAATTGCTCATTTTTGGAAAAATAAAAAGAATATAATGGTTTGTAATATATATATATATATATATATATATATATATATATATATATATATATATATATATATATTATATAATATATATATATAATATATATAATATATATTATTTTATTATTCTTAGTGTAATCTAGGAGACTTGGTAGAAAGATGAAATGAAACCAGTGAAAATGAAGATGAACGTAGTAGTGACAAAAATATTATTACAAGTAAAACATAGCAGAACTTAGCTAAATGACATAGCTTTCTCATCAAGACAGTTTGCAGTGTTAGTGCATTTGAAGAGATAGAGTAATTTAAAAATAATAATAGAATTACTTTAAAATGAGAAAAACATTCAGGAAACCTCTTCAAAATTAGGGAGTTATTTATAGTCAGGTAAATATGGAACTCTGCTCAATGATCATTTCATCTTCATAAAATATCATTTCTTGCTTAATGAAAATGAAATTAGAGCTACAGCAATTAATCTCCACATTTAAATAAAAACATTTTTAAAATAAAGAATTCATAATTTATACTGTATTTTAAAAACTTCTCGTTAATAATATTCTCAATTGTTTTCTAAACTATATGTACATTTTAGGCTTGTAAAACATCTCTGAACATTGTTCGCTTGTTGGAACTGAAGAAGGCAGGATACAGTGAAATTATGGAAAATTTACAGAAATCACATGATTATGCAATAATTGCTAATAATGAGGAACTTGAAATAAAAGTCTTGTGTCGTATGCTGAAAATACAAGAGAAAAATGGGTTTGCAGAGGAAGCTAGTAAGAGAAGCAATAAGCTTTAGTTGAATTTCATACATATTAGTGTTATACCCAGAAGCTTTATAATTGTATTTAATAAAAATCTTGCTTTTCAGATGAAACAAGAAATAAAATTGATGCAATAAAACCAGATGTATCACCTCATGGAAGCTCGTATGATTCATCTGATGATGAAGTAGAAGTTGAAACTCCTGAGCTAGTCAACAACACATCTCTATCTGAAATTTTAGGTATTGAAATGTAATATTAAAAACCTTTTCTGAAATGAAAATTTGTTTCCTTTTTCAATACTTACTTTACTTCTGTTCTGAGTACATCATCACCACGTTATTTACATTTATTTTATCTGATTTCAAGTTATGTTTACTGTTTCTGAAATTTATTATTACATTATTTAATTATTTTTAACCTGCTGATGTAAGTCATGGGATCCTAAATGGGATCTTTTAGGCAGTGATTATTTTTCATATAAAATTACTATATTATAAAAAAACTTACAATTTTGGATGATATTTATTTTAGTATTTTTTAAAAAATCAAAGAAAAAGAATAGAAAACAAAATTTATTATTTTATAGACACTGGCTCATTCTCTCTCCCGAAATAAATATCGTCCAAAATTGTAACAGATTTTTTATAATATAGTAATTTTATGTGAGAAATAATCCATATTTTAATTATTTCAATGGTATTTTTGTCAATATTTAAAATGTTGAGTTTTGGAAAAAATAGAAAAAATATGTCATTCCATGTCAAATCGCACTTTGATGTCCCAGATTTTTTAACTTTTTTTTGTTGTGAAGAGTATAACCAGAAATATAAAACTCATCTTTTTCATTTTTCCCCAAATATTACTTTCGAAAATTTTCAAAAATTGTGTGAATTGATAAATATAATCATTTTTAACTTGTTCTGTTTAACTAAAAATTCATTAATTTTGTAAAAATAACTTTTTTTTAACCTACCTTTTTAACTTTTTCCCAAAACATAACAGTTTAAAAATTTGATAAAAATACCATTAAAAGCACTATAAAGTTTCACATAAGTAAGTTACAAAGTGGGACATCGAGATAATTCTGAGAAATTAAATACAATAGAAATGTCTACTTGCTGTTTTGCTGCAATGTCTGCTAGAGGTCACCCCTCAAGCAAGTGTCTCTCAGCAGTAGACGATTTCCATCCATATACTTTTGCTGAACAATAAATAAAAGTATCCTTTCACATCTTTCTGTGTGCCGTATACGTTCATATGACCTTCATAGCCAATTATATTTAAATTAAAAAGTGTCAATCGGATTCAATTGAGTATTAAACGGACGAAATATTTATACGAATAAGAGTATGTGATACTGTTAATTACATTGATATTTCTTGTACTTCACTTTACAAAGAATAATTGACAATCCTTAATTGACCTTTTCATAAAGAAATGAAATTATATATTTTCTTTATGCCTTCTACTGCTTTTTTATTGCATCACTGTTGCAATAGTCCTCTTTCTAATTCGTATTGTTCGTATTGTTCAGCGTTGGCAAAAAAATAAAGGCAATATTCTTCACATTATCACCAGCTCAGTTAAATAACAATTCAAGAATATTATAGTGTTCTCTCTTTTCCACCCTTCTCTCACCCTCTCTTCTCCTCTCTCTCGCCCTCTCTGCCTCACCCCCTCTCCTTACGCCCCCCTCTCTCACCCACTCTCTCTCCTCTTAATCCTTTTTTCTTAATTTGGCTTTATTCACAATTAGTTCTATATTTTGGACTTTTGGTGAATTTTAATAATTAAATATGAAAACAAATATAATAAATTTATAATTACATCAGTGATATTGCCCAGTGGCAGCTCGACTGAATCTGGATGCGATATCAAGTGGTAAGAGTATCTTGCCAGTCGTCTGATTTTTTGGCTGATGTCTAGAAGCTTGAGCGCCAGGTAGTTTGGGTAATTCTCAAGTCTGCTATGGTATCTGCAACTTAAATTATTTATAGTTTCTTTAATAGTTTTTATTTGTAGGTTATTGTGAAGGATGGAATCAGGGGTATACCAAGGGGCATTTGCAACGGTGCATAGCAATTTAGATTTAAATCTTTGTAGTATATTGATGTTCATGTGGCTTACAGTAGTATATTTCGGCAATCTTATATGGCTCGTAGATGCCAAGTGTGTTTCAGATACTAAAAGTATATCTACTTTACTATTGTTCAGAAATTATTCAACTTTTCGTCTTCTTGATTTGAGATCGATTGCAATCCAAGCTGTGATGGTAAGCTGATTTATCTTTTTTCTCGAAGTTTGGACCCAAGATATATTAGCCTGCTTATTTGTTCTGCTTGCTTACTAAGAAGATTTTCGAATTTCTGAAATGATTCTTTAACAAATACTGCAAGTTCAATTTTTTCTGATGGCTGTTGATTAGTAATAATTTGCGCATATGGCCTTCATTTGTTAGTGGAAGATTGTACTGTATTTCCTTAAGGTAGTGTTTGTGGAAACTCATTTTCCGTTTGGACAACAATTTAGTTCTTTTATAGCATTTTTTCATGTGGTTCCGAGAATCTTGCTGGAAAGAATGTGCTGTTGTAGCACCTCAAGTTTTTCTTTGCGCTCAACTTGACTGCAGCCGTTGTAAAGGAAGAAAATGAGCAGATACCAAAGAAGTTCTAATATATATAGCTCACAAAGTGAAATTCACTGTATTCTTGACACATTCTTAGAAGCATAGTTATTTCAGCTGATTTTATGTGCTTATCATGGATATCCAATTTTGCTAACAGTCAATGCAATAGCTCCTGTCATTCTAGTGTTAAACTCCATATTAAGTCAGTTTAATTTTTTTCTCCTGTCTCGGGCTTTTCATTTAACATTGAAAAACATATTGTTCAAGAATATGAAACCTTACAGTAACATATGGACACTATTTTCAAGTACTTCAACAAACTCTTTTCTTCTCCCTTCAATAAGTACACTTCAACTAGAAATCACTATACATAAACACCACATAAAACTAATGTACTTATTTTTGTACAATTAGCTCTTGAAGATCAGGATTGCTCTGGCATCTGGATGCATGGTACTGTGGTCCTTATGTTATGTGTACTGTGAGACAAACGTGAAACAATATAAGAGTTAAGACCTAGACTGAAGTGACCTTCCAGTCTTTTCTTTTTTTGCTATATAAAATAAGACAGTACAAAAGTCTGCCCCCTTCTCTTCATGAATTGCTTTCTTTCGAGAAGGATATCCTTGCAGAAGAGAAACAGAGATTAGGATTGTAAGTAAGTTTGCTGTGAAAGTTCGGTAGATTGTGGGGAGGAGTGACCTCACTTGCATCCTTTGTCAAGCAAAACTGCCCTTGATAGAATGAATTTGGCTTAGATATTTGAGTGAGTGTGTAGGCAATAGATTTAAGAGGGTAAAAGCAACAAGGCTGATATTATCTTTATAAGTCTATTACTAGTTATGTGAATGGATTACTAATGTCTAATCTTGTATGTATTCTTTATTAATGAGTTTTGCCATTAACTTTTATTATTATTAACATAAACCATTCCCACATCCCACTTTGTTGGGAATTTGTTTTTGAGAGTGGTCTAATTTTTTAAATTATATTCTTCATGTTTAAGAGGAGGAACTAGAACCAAACAGCACTGAGACATCTCGACCAAGACAGGTGAAAAAACAAAAGCCAAGTTTGAAGGTGCGCAGGAATGAAAAAGGAGAAACTCCGCTTCATACTGCTTGCATCCATGGCTGCGCCAATCAAGTCCAGCGGTTGCTTGATTTTGTGAGTTTAAATGTTCTCGTTACTACATTACCAACTATTTTAATAAAATTTAACATCATGATCTTCTTGTTCAGAAACATCCAGTAAATGTCACCGACAATGCAGGCTGGACTCCTTTGCACGAGGTTTGTAACCATGGTCATGTGGAACTGGTGAATCTTCTGCTTGATAATGGTGCAAATATTAATGATCCAGGAGGATATGGCAGTGAAGGGGTAACCCCATTACATGATGCTTGTTCTAATGGACATTTAGAAATTGTGCAAATTCTTTTGGATCGTGGGGCATCCACTGATGTTAGGACAAATGATGTAAGTAATAGAACAACCTTTGATACATTTATTTTAATATGAGAAGATGCTTTTATAAATTGTTACTTGCCCATAAACATGTTCCCTTTTTGTGTGTGCATGCATGCATGCGTGCGTATGTGTGTTTGTGTGTATATTGAGGTTGCGGGATGTTCTGCAGAGTAAAGGTGGAAAAATTTATCTGAATTTATGAATATGGATTTTCAATGCTGTTTGGTTGATTTTTCACTATTAAAAATTCTCTGAGAATGAAGACATGTAAGAGCATGTAACATGGTTTATTATTTATTTATTTATACACTGACAAAGGCCCTTTTTACAATAAAATAATATAAATTCAAGGCCAGCTGAGTAGTTCACAACATAGGATACAGAATATAATTATCTAAACTTTAATATAGCATATTTCAATTGAGTAGTAAATTTTGCAATATTCGCTGATAATACATCTATATTGTGTTCATTAGCATATCCACACATTCTGGTTAATGGATTATTTAATGTACACAATATTGAGACTATCAATTGCAAAAACTGGAGTTTGTCTAGTAGTTAATGATGGTATTTTTAATTTTATTTTACTTAGTAGATGAGGACAATGAGTATCTCCATTTATCAGACTGCATACAAATTTTATATAAAGTGTTTTCAGTAATCTCAGTATAGGTACAGTATATAACATTTGATATAGAAGTATAATCATGTTCAGTGAAAGGGTCTGCCAATCCCATTCTCAAAGAAGTAACTCAAAAAAATTTATGTTGCACTGTTTCGAGTCTTATGTGCGTGTCAAAGAAAGGTGTCCAAACTACGGATGCATACATCAGGATGGATGATTACCAGTGATAAACATTGAGTTAAGAACCAATCTAAAGAGAGCCTGTAAGTCCAAATTATTTCAGCTTCAGTATGAAAAGGTTGTGATTTACAGAATTTAATGCTTTACTGAAATCAGTATAGATATTTTCAACTGAAAATTTGTTTTCTAAGGAACCCTGAATATAATGTGTATAACAAGATAAATTACTCTTTGTTTCTATAATTGATCAATCCGAAACTGTTTAGTTGAAATGAAAGGAAAGGCCAGATGCTTTCATTTATATGTTATTATTGCTTCAAAAAGTTTTGGAATGGTACACATAATCGAAATTAACCTATAATTTTAAATTAAATTCAGTGTGAGCCGGATGTAGATACTCGATAACACCAATTTCAGAACTTCTTGTGCATATGGTCCTTGAGACAATCATTTGTTTAAATAACTTATTCAATATTTCCTGGTAGCATAATGAATTTACAGCGCCCTTTCAGAAATGACAGTTTCCATCAAGGTACAGTGGACAAAGACTTCGAAGAAAACAGAGTATTGTACCGCATCAGGACGCCATGGCCTTACTAATTCGTCCCGCAGCGCTTGCGATACTTAACCAATCTTTAACCTTCATTTTAACTAGCGGTAAAAATATATATTCAGGAGAAGGATTGTAGATAGCATGTAGAAGTCAGAGGGAGGAAACACTGAATGGCAGGTAGGTCACTGATTCGGTTTCCAAAACGTCGATTTGAATTGAAAGCTTATGAAATGAGTGCATGGGTCAGAAAGTGAAGGTGTTGATACAGAGTAACGGAGAAAAGAAAATTCCTGAGTGGCAATGAAACAAGGGATGGTGGAACATAAGCTTGGCGTCGCTACAGTAAAGGGAAGTGAGAATTTTGAACTTAGTTCAAAATTAATACAAGGCCTAGATTGTTTAGGGATTAAAAAGAGAGTTAGATTTAAAATTAAATGGCCATAATAGCATATGTGCGTAGTATGAACACGTTGTTGAATTATAATATAAATAGATGTGAGTGTGTATGTTTCAGATGTTATTTCTCAGGTTATAGAGTATTTTTCATCTAAAGTATTTTTGTCATTCTTGTACAGTATTTTTTTTAGGTGGAGGCACTATGAGAAAGGTAATGAAAATGGACATTCTTAGAGTAAAGTAAAATAAATCAGAGTTGCACCAATATTGCTGCATAACATTAAAAGTTTGAAACTTTGTTGTTGTTATGTTTTTTTTATTTTATTATTTAGGTATGAGATGATGGATATCACCTAAGTAAGCCATGCATATCGATATCCCCATAAGTATCGATGAGAGCATTCTGTATCAGTTGGCTTTGCAAACCTCAATCTAGAAATAAATTTCAGGACCTAGTAGATTAATGCTTTAATTACAAAAGAAAGAAAAGTAATAGTAGTAGAGTTGGAAATTGATTATGTTAACACTCAATATAAGCAACATTGTTATTTTACTGAATGCTTAATTGAAAGTAATAGTTGTAGAATGAATCCAAATATTACAGCAGCTCCCAAGTAAGGGGAAAAGAAATATATAAATTATTATTAAATAATCCATACAAAAGTGGTGTTGGTGGCTCCTACGCATGGGGCCGAGGTATATAAAGAATTATTAAATAAAGATAGGAAATAAATCCACTGGAAACGGTCACAATATAATAATATTTTGGACTTAAAATACATAAGTTTCAAGCAAGGTCAAAATATTGGTAGTTTTACAATAATATTTTGTTAAAACAAATTAAGTTTTTAAAAGTTACCTCTACAGAGAAGAAATTATATAATAACAACAAATAATAAAATAACTTATAATTGCACAGTGAAATATCAGTAAATAAAATCAACATTGCTACAATATATAATACAACTACAATACATGAAATACATTTTGTTTTGAATTCTATTTAAGTTAAATAATATTACACATTAAAATTCACTTTTACTATTTGGACAAATGTTAATCAGATAATATTTCAATAGGTTTGTAAATAGTATACACAAAGGAACTTGATTAAACCCAAGGTGGTAGTCGTTACAGTGAACTGGTGTGTAAAAGAAAGGATAATTCTGAAAATATTCCTAACCGCTTATCAGAGGTATGGAATGCATTGTTAATTTGTGGAATTACATTGAGATAGACTTGTTTTTAATGTAGTTGAGAATAATTGTGCCAGTTAAATTCACCGTTATCTAATTTGCTTTATTACAGGGCTAAAAGCATCTCTGATTGCATTGCAATGATTTTCAGATCTGTTGGTCTCTTTATTTATTTATTTATTTTAAGTTTAAATTTACAAAGGTGAGAGGTTTTACTGTACTTTAGTGACGTGTAGTACTTTACATGTGTTTATCTAGTATACAGTTTGTTTGTACTAGACAGAGGTTTGCCGTGTAGACAGATTCAAGTTCAGTGATTCTCAGTCTTTAGTATGTGCTCTCTAAGAACTTGTAAGAAATTTGTGATTTATTTTTGGACTAGCAACTCCTAAAATATTAGAGTTGGTGTTAAAATAAACTATAAATTGCTTGAACAAGTTCTTACGTATAAAACCAGATCCTTGGAGGCTAAGAAAAATACCTTTGTCGTAAAAAAGATTAGCTTCTGAAAGGTGGTTAATTACAGTCTTTGAATTAGGACTTACTTGTAGAAAACGGTTGAACTGGGTGTGTTGTATGTAATGAATTAATTTTTTTCAGAATAAAACACCATTAGATTTCTTATTGGAATGGGCCTCAAGAACAGGTACTTTATCTCAAGACCAAACCAGTCTTTTTGAAACTATAAAAGAGAAACTTCAAAGAGACTTAGAGAAAGGTATGTTTTGTTACTTCTCATTAGAGAATTGAAGCATGTTCTTTGTTATTGCTAGCATTTCATTTTTTAGCTGGTGTGAGTACAAAAACTGTAAAAGTCCCTCTGATGGAGCATAGTGTTCAGAAGACAAACATTTCTGAGAAAAACAAACTAAAACAAAAGAGTTCTGAAAGCAGAGTGGAAACTGGAAAAAGATACTGGTCAGATTCCAGTTCAGAGAGTGAAGACTACAACAGTGATAGAGAGCTGACAAAAGAACATACAGGTAATCTAATTAGTGCCTTGAACCCCAAAACATGTTCATGTATTGGATGGGACATTAAAAATTCCTTTAAAAAGAAATCGTTTTCTTTCCAATAACAGTACACCCCAGTTACTTAGTATTGGTAGTGACAGCATGGTGATTAGGACACACATTTGCTAACGTGAGGGACATGTGTTCAAATCCCAAAAAAGGTGGGTTTTTTTACTCAGCCGTGTCCTATTCAGGGAGGCAAGGGAGGCAATCCTGAGCTTCTCTTAGCCTCCTTTCAAAATGAGTATCAATATTTAATGGCTTTATTAACAGTAAATATTGGGAAAATTTTGCAAATAAATTACGGCATTTGCCACGCCATCTTCTCCCACTTACAGAAAAAGCACATAAGATCTCTGACCTATTAATATACAGAGGACCCTGGAAGTGGGGAAACAAGTGCCAATAAGGTTAATATAGACAGGAGTCCTA